AACAGAAGGATTTACATAATCAGTCCTCTTTCATATTTTTTAGGGGAAGTATTGAGGACAATTGGAATATGATCGGACCTTGCTGAACAGTAGTAGATAACTCTTGCATCTTCAAATAAGAATTTTCTTTTCTGTTGTATAAAGCCAAATTAATTCTCTTTGACATGATCTCTCCCATCCAGCCATCCTTATTATTTGACCATGTGAATTTAGGCCCATAAAAGTGAATAGTCTCAAGGTTGCAAACATATCCAGAATTCTAGTTCTACCTACTGTTTTCCCTCCTTTGTCAGCTTCAGTGTATATCATCTTTCTTCCTAGGAAGATCAATCCACTGTTTAAAGGGAACATAGAAAAAGAAGAGCGACCATTACTGATTTTAGTAAAAGCACGGAGAAAATCTGAGTAACTGGGTCAAGAAAGAAGCTGACCAGCTTACTGCAGAAAGGGCTAGATTTGGTCTTGAAACATCAAACCTGCCTTATAATATTTGTAGCTTGAGGGCATGCAGGAAGGGCATTCTATTGCTTTTCCTGTACATCGATAAGAGGTGGAATTGTGTTTGAATGGTTCGTGTAGTTTTAACTATATCTCCAATTTTCATGCTGAAGTAAAGTTGTTTTCACCACTTCAATTAAGTGATGTCTGAAAATGTCAAAGTCCTCTCTGATGCATCTCTTCTTAACTCTCATGATGTGAATCCACCAAAATTTGCTCCTAGAGGGGATGGGTTGAATGTGCAAGAGGCCCATACGTGGATATATATATTTTTGATGCACGGGATGAGCCGAAAACAACACTATAATTTCGCTCCTAAGCCGAGGTGTCGATGAGTGATCCGAGGTTCGAGGTGACTGGAGACTAGTAGGTTGACTCTGCGAAGAGGAGAACATCAGAGGCCCCGAGTGAGGACCCAAAGCAGAGACTCCGATGGTCAAGTTAGTATTAGGAGTGTTAGGTGGACGAGGTCTGAGGGGAATACATTCAGATGAGGCCACCAGAGTTTTCAAGTGCTAGGTAGAGAACTTAAGTTCTGATCCTTTATCTTAGGGGGGTTCGCTTCCTATTTATACTTGAGGCCGCTTGGAGGTAGGTGAGCTTGGATGGTCTTGATGTGGTCCATACACGAGGAGCGCGGCCATTCGAGGCCGCCAGGTGACTCCACGCTATTGGCTCCTCAAAGCCCGCTGAACTCTGTCGCGCACACACCCTGATTGGGTCTACTCTGAGCTGCACCGCCTGCCATGTATAGGCCCGTGATGGGACAAGGCCATGCGCGCCTATAAAAAGAGACTATTAGGGGGTGTCTATTTTTGGATTTTGATTGAAACCATGCTCTTTTTTCATATTTATGTGGGGATTAGGAAAAGTTTATTTTCCTGGATATCACTTACCTGACTAAATGATACTCATATCCTACGTGGGTAAATGACTTTCATACCTGGGGCTGGGGGGAAGTTGACAACACTCAAAGGGAACAAAAATGGCCCTTTTAATATTGGATTTTATTGTTAAAATGATCATTGCCTTATTTACATGAGAGATAAAAGAATATGGGTAAATACACTTAACTGGAAAAGTTTTTCCTGGGTAAATAACTTACCCAAAAGTGAAGGAAGCCATAAAATTATTGAAAGTAAACCTACTGCTGCCTCGTCCAAAAGGGAGAAGAAAGAAACCCATGCAAATCCCTGAACCTGAAGTGATAAAACCCTTGCTTAATTTCCACTCTTCCCAGCCTCTCTTTTATTCACTTGTATATTGCAAGGCCACACCACAAAAACGACGTTATCCGGGTTGATTTGTGGATTTGGTTATGTTGGAAGAAAATGTGGCATCATTAACAAAACATAACAAACAAATAAATCAAGAAACGTCATCGCTCCATTCTAACTAGCTTTTTCTTATATTACATATAGTCAACGTATTAATTAGGTTTTCATTTTCTTTTGAAACAAGTAGATGGTTTGCAATGCAAAAAAACGAAGGTCGAAGGGGAAACAAAACAAAACTCTTCACCGCGTATTAGGTTTATTCACCTGGCATGTGCAGCTGTTTCAAAGACTCCATCGTCACCAAAACCACACTTTTTTTCTAACTGATCCTGATAGGAGGAACTACTGTGGTTGTTATGTTCACTGTTCACCCCCCTTTTCCAACTCTGTCATCAGTTACTAAATCAAACCTTATCATATTTCACATGCTCTCCTCTGCTGTGACTGTTGCTGGGCTGTGAATCTGTCGGCCCTGCCCTATAAGATATTTGTTAAAAAACGATATCAGATCTGATCCTGATCCAACCTTATCATATTGCTATTACTAAATCAAACCTTATCGTATTAGGTTTATTCACCTGGCACGTGCAGCTGTTTCAAAGACTCCATCGTCACCAAAACCACACTTTTTTTCTAACTGATCCTGATCCTGATAGGAGGAACTACTGTGGTTGTTATGTTTACTGTTCACCCCCCCCTTTTTCAACTCTGTCATCAGTTACTAAATCAAACCTATCATATTGCTATTATATTTCTATTTCACATGCTCTCCTCTGCTGTGACTGTTTATGGACTGTGAATCTGTCAGCCCTGCCCTATAAGATATTTGTTAAAAAACGATATCAGATCAGGGCGTTTCACACGCATACATTGGGAATATCTTCCATATTTATAAGTTATTATTAGGGTGGATGTATCAGTGAAGCGCCATGCCTTAAAAAACGCGTTATGCTATATATTGCTGAAATGGAAGCAATCCACTTGGCCGGTGCCATTTGTTTACGTTTGTCCATCTTTGAATTCTTTCCGTTTTGTTGGATTGGGTTGAGTTGGGTGAACTACAGCTGGGGGCAAATGGACGACGTGCCCGACCGGTTATCAGTCTTCTCCAACCATAATCATCATCGCCGCGATGGGAGGAAACCGGTATAGTAGGTCGCCAACCTCAATAAATCCAATGACGTTTCACAACGGTGTAGGCTAATGTTGTGGAACTGGAATATGGTGCATCCTACCTAACGGTGGAAGTGGAGCACGTTGGCTTAACCGTCCACGAGCGTGTTACGTGCCCCACTAGAAATTAGAAAAGAAGCGTTGCTTCTCACGTGATCGATGAAGCAAGCTGACAAGTGACACTGACAACGACATGGAGGAGATCAGGAGACACCGACTCTTTGCCCTGTAAACTAACTGTTGCCACGTGACGCTCCATGTACGGCCACTGTGGTAGTGTTACAAAAAAAAAAAAAAAAACGTTTGAGTTCGATAGACGATAATCCGACAAGTTTCTGCATCTTGACCGTCTACATGATAGGAGAAGGAGATCCTGATCCTCTAGATATACCACTTCTCAGCCTTCTAGAGGGTTTTTCTCATCATAAATCGTACATGCTCTAGAACCAAAGCTACCATTGTCATTATCAACTCCATCACTTCATGGAAATGGGAGATGTTCCAATATAAGGTGGGATGTGGGTGTGAGGTCGCTGTAGAAGGGCCGAGGAGCGGATCCCATCACCACCACTTCACCACTAATGATATCAAGATATAAATTGGGATCTGCTCCTTAGAGAGACACCTTACACCAACTTCACAGCTCCGTCCCACCCTGAATTGGGAATATCTCCTATAGATAATAAATATAAGTATAGGTAATGTTTTTAATGTGCCATTAACACATACTGTGAGGAGCAGATTCAGACTCAAAAGGTTAGGAGTGCAAGTCAGGCATTTGGGTCAGATCTATGATCAACTCAAGTCCAATCCTAAAATTTGGGCTTAAGGCCCAAGATCAGACCAAGGCCGATCTTCCTAATCCAAGCCCAGCCTGCATTATAACCGAGCCGTGGAGCATATTTTTGGAACCAAATCAAAGCAAGTCAGTTAATCGGTTGGCCAATTCGGTTCATTGGTTTTTTAGTTTTTAAATTTTTACAATATATATTATAAATATATATAAATATATATAAGTATATAATAAAAAATTATAAATATATATATTTATATATAATGCATATTTATTAATTTATAATATATAAAAAATATATAATAATAATATATAGAAATATATCTATACTGGTCGGTTTGGTTAACCATCGATTTTCTATATTGATTAACCGAAACCGAACCGCTACCCTCGGTTTTTTACAAACACCGAACCGAAACCAAATCGACCGATTTGGTTAACTAATTTTTGGTTCGGTTTCAGTCAGTTCGATTTTTTTAGTTTTTTTGCTCAACCCTAATATATATTTATACAAATATGTATACATATATATTTATGTATATATGTAAATATGTATATAACGTATTTATGTAAATAGGTAAATATATATACAAATATATAATATGTATGCAAAATTTACATATAAGTATGGATATGCATAGTTGGGTCAGGCTTGGGCTGGATTCAGGCCTAGTTCATAGTTAACCCGAATCCAGTCTAAAAAAATAAAAACTCCCACTTCTTAAGCCCCAACCCAACCCGAGGACAGAAAATTCAAGCCGAATCCGAATAAAATTATACGTAATTTACGTTGATCCGTCCTGAATCCTGATGAGGTAAGTGTAGGCCTAAACTAGAAATCCAACTAAGGTACCAAAACCGGCGACGGCGAGGGACTAATCTTATAGGCAGACTGCCCAAACCGAAGATCCGGTAAGAAATCAGATACAAACAGCTAAAGTTTGGCTTTCTAAATTAGATAGCCTGGGTGGCTGGGTTGTTGGGTTGTCAACAGAGATCTCCTCGATTCGCATAGATACAGTCTTGAATATTCTTGATATATAGTAATAGTATCATCAGCGCTGGATGAAGTAACTGTAACGTAGTCACAATCACACACAGCGATAAGCGATAGAGTTCTATAGAGTATAGACAGCCCAGACGGTCGAACGTGGACAACCAAAGTCATCGTTGAATTGAACAAATAAAATATTATATATATATATATATATATATATAAATATTAAAATATGTATATGTACGTGGCTTTCTTTCTTTAACTTCCATCTCCATCTCATTCCCCCATCCCACGCAAAAAATTTCGCTAATTCCAGCAAGGCCGCTTGCTACTTGCGCATCTATTTATATAAATAAATATATCTTAATCCCTCCCTCAGAACTCAGAGGTGACTTCCGAGAAGAGATCCTAATCAAAACAAGCTGATGGAATTCTGGAGAATTGTTTCTTTGCTTCTAACACTCCTCCTGTTAGGTAAGTAACTCTGACTATTATCTTTAATTTCTCCGGCAACATTTCACCCTTTATTATGGCTTTAAGGCTTGTAGCAGGATGTAATGTCAAGTGAATTTGGTTTAATTTTTACTATTTATTTTTGAATCTTCATTTTCTCTTCTTACACAAGATAGTTTATTTTTCTAATCGCAGGAAGTGCAGCCTCCGCTACCTTGTTCACGCTCCAAAACCACTGCGCCTACATGGTCTGGCCAGGAACATTATCCGGCAATGGTGGTGCCGTCCTCGGAGAGGGTGGCTTCTCTTTGGCACCCGGTGCATCGGTACAGCTCACCGCACCACCCGGATGGTCTGGTCGATTTTGGGCTCGCACCGGATGTAACTTTCACGACTCGGGAAACGGTAAGTGCATCACCGGAGACTGCGGTGGACTAAAGTGTGCGGGCGGTGGCGCACCACCCGTTACACTCGCCGAGTTCACCACCGGTGTCAGCGGCACTAACAATATGGATTTCTACGACGTAAGCCTCGTGGACGGCTACAATGTAGGTATGGGAGTAAGGGCGTCGGGTGGGACAGGAGCCTGCCAGTACGCTGGTTGTGTTGCCGATCTCAACCATAGCTGTCCAAAAGAACTGCAAGTAACCGACTCCGGCAACGTGGTAGCATGCAAGAGTGCATGTGCAGCGTTTAACACGCCGGAGTTCTGTTGCACTGGAGGCCACTCCACGCCGCAGACCTGCTCGCCGACCAGCTACTCGGAGATGTTTAAGAGGGCCTGCCCGACGGCGTACAGTTACGCATACGATGATGCATCCAGCACGTGCACCTGCACCGGATCTGATTACTTGATCACGTTCTGCCCCACCGGATCGTGATTAAAATTTGGATGATACCCAGTAACCCAGACCCCATTGTCGTCCTTTTTTTGTAAAAAAAAAATATTTTACTATTGGATTTTGATTTTAGGAGGGCAGTGTTGGCATTTAATTTGTGTGGGGACATATTATTATTATTTATTAACTGGGTGTTGGCTAGTAGTATTGGTTTTTCATCTATTATATTGTGGTGAGCTGCAGTTAATCAATACTCTGCATTTATAACAAGGTTCGAACAAAAAAAAAAGTATTAATCTTGGAAATATAACGAGGATATTTCCATGCCGTTTCTTCTTGCAAATATAACGAGGATATTTTTATTATTAAAAATAAACAAAACCATGTACTTTTTGGAATCTTTTAGACACTAACCAAAAAGAAAAAGACAAAAAAAAAAAAAAAAAGAAACATAACTACAAAGAATCCTGCCTTGTCCCACTGACGGTGTTTTCTTTATGTTTTTTTTTTTATTTTTTTATTTTTATATCTTTCTTTTATATTTTGAGACACCGACCAAACTTGGAGCTGGCCCAATATTTGTTATGGGCCTGTGGCTGTGATAATAGTAATTGAGATGGTGTGAACTGTGAACCGTGGAGTATCATCAAAGCAAGTTGTTTTCGTTGAAAACATAAAGCATCTAAAATGCAGACAAAATATCCTATACATTGGGTAGCCCCCGCACTTTATTTTGCCACATATAACTCCACTCTGTTTTAAGTTAAATTTATGCAACACAGTATTCAACTAAATATGTTTTTATAATTCAAAACATATTTAGTTGGATAAGACAAAGATGATAATGTTGATGATGTTTCTTACATCAAAATTTAATTACATATGTGACACTCACATGATGTAAACCATGGATACCAACAACAAGAGAGAGCCAAACGAATGCATAAAGTCATAAACATATTATACCTAAAAGCTGCAAGTGCAAGAAGAGTTAACAGGTCCAAATCTACTAGTACTAACTACAAATGCTCGGCACGAGACTCTGCAACTACACGAGGAATATCTAATCTACTTTATGTAGTAATTCGTGGGGGAGATGTTCTCGATGTGTGGTGGTCATGTGTTGTGCACAAGATATGGCCAGCGTCTGCAACTCTGTATAGTGCAAGCTAGCACAATAGCATTTAGATTACAGTATGCTCACATAACACTAAGACTGCGTTTGGTCCCAGTACAATTTTATTTGCACTAGTATAAATGCATGGGAGTGCAAATGAAAAAAATGCAATCAAACAAAATAAACTAAAATTTGAAACAAAAATAGGTCAGAATTTAAACTTGAAGAATTTGCATTGCCATAGTTTTGCATCAGTGCAAATTTACTTGCATTGCAATCAAACACATCCTAATTAACAAAATAATATATGAAAAAGGACTCTAGATCTGCTACCTACAAGACACTACAGCTGTACATTGGGTGCATCTCCCCATGGATAACAAGTATGGGAAATATTCCCAATGTGCGGATGGAATGTCTCGTGGGTAGGTGTCAATTAAGGGTGGGCTCGGGCCCAAGAAGCCTTTCTTTTTTTTTTTTGGGCAAGGCCCGGGCTTAACCCTTAGGTAGCCCGAACCTGACCCAACTATACACATTCAAATATACACGTGTGTGTATAAAATTTAAGAAAAACATTTTTTCACGCTGTTCCGAGATCCAAATCCCTCATTTACCGCTAAATCAAGCCCAAATGCTACACGTCATATCTTAGAAAAATAGCTGAGACTTGCTTCCCCGTTATGTATAGGGAAGAGAAACGCTCTCTACGCCCTTTTTTTTCCATGATCTTGTTCAGTCGACCAATTTCTTGATACTGCATTAAAGGGAGGATTGGAGGAACATGGGTGGTCGCCGGTCGGTCCACCAAATTGATTGGGAGTTGGGACAACAAACGAGAATTGTAAACCCTACAATTAAACGAAATCACGGGATTTCATCGTAGAGCACCATGACAAGTCGAGAAGAGAGATGGAGTGGAATTAATAAAGTAAGAGACGAAGGAAATAACCAAGGCACATCCTTCGAATGCCTTGGTGCAATTTCTTTGTTAGCTAATCTCGTACAAAAAAGCTCTTTGCTTCTTTTTTTCCCCCTTTCTTTTTCTACATTCAAATTTCTCCACTTCTAGGCTTTCCATCTTTGGAAGCCCAAGATAGGAGAACATGGCACCCAATCCTTCAGCTGGGTGCGCAAGGAAAACCTACATGTGATGATCGCACTACACGTGCTATCTTTGCTACAATTTAAACCCTTGAGAAAATTACAAAAAAGAAAAAGAAAAAAACAGGGACAGCTAAAAAATATACAGGCCCATATTTTACAACTACTCCCTACATGCTATTTTTACTAGGAATAGAAGCTCCGGAAACGTCTTAGCCACCATGGTCGCATCTCACCAAAGCCTGTGCATTGCCCCTCACCTTCCTCCTCGGTGCTGAAGAGGGTCTGGTCCGAGCAATCAAGACATGCTCCACAAGCTGCATTGTATGATCGGCACGCAGAATGGCACACCCTTAACCTATTGTCGCCATCTTTGTCACACTTCTGTATTGAGATCTGCCAGTTCAGGAATCAATAAAATTAACGTTCGACTTCATACAATGAAGATTAGCACTATAATTCTCTATTTAGTGAAAGAATAATCATATCTAGTGTGACTATTTAACAAAACAAGGGTAGTAGATCACAGATCGCCACCATCAAAGCATGCATATATGTAACATCCAACAAATGAAATTTCTTCTAGACCGTCATGCCATTCTTGAAGAAAATAAAAAATCCACCACAGACAACTCCAATTAGTAATCAAAAAACCTCAGGCTATATCCAAGGTTAGTGTCGATAATGGTATGCCCATCAATATGCTAAATATCCATTGTTTTAGGGCTTTGACCACTTTCAGGGTAGCCAGGCCTAAGACCAACCCCTCTAAAATTTTGAAAAGAAAAAGGACACAGGTGTGCCTTTGAAACACCTGCTATGCAAAACTGTGGGTGACATGATTGGAGGGAGAGATGAGTCAGCAGCATGGAGACCACCAATTTATTCTACAATTGCATTACACCAGAAGAAAAAGGAGAAGAAATAAGGAAGAAAGAGGGCAAAATAATAGAGACAACTGAAAAACAACTTACCCAGCAGGCTAGCCGCTTTGCGGCTGCTGCACAATAACCATTGTCAAGAATATTAAACAATGTTCGACTCCCGGGAATCAACCGGTTATAATTAGGCATGACAACAGCTGCTTCTAGCTGCTGCAATATGCTTGGTTCACTAGGTGCACAGTGTTGCCCAATTGCATCACTTGCCAGAACATCTCTACAAACTGACAGACTCGGAAGGAGCATGGAACTGTTCTGGCATGTATATCCTGCATAGTCAGAGCAACGGAATTCACAGACTCCATTATCACAGACCCCACCATGTAGACTGCATTGTTCATCGCACACAGCTGCAATCATACAAAAGGCATGGAGTTATTTGGCAATGAAAAGGTATGGAGTTATTTGGCAAACAGACAAATAATGCAAAAAACACATGTTTTCACAACCTTGTGAAAAGACATGTGGCTCAGCCACCTGTGCATAGAAGTAAGCAAAAATCATGTTCACACCCTGAGAGCATGGCATCCAGTCATACATACCATACATAGAGAATATTGCCTATGTGCGGCTGGATGCTGTGCTCTCAGGGTGCGTACATTGCTTTCAGGAGATCCAGGTTTGTCAAGTCAGTAGGAACATTGTAGATGGCCATAAACACAACCGTGTAGATATGTCCATCTTAGTCATGTATTTGAATCCTAGGATCTGATAATTTGCACTATGGCAATAACCTGGCAAAGGTGCATCTACTAATTCAGTAGATCATGTCTGTAACATAGAAACTTAATTTATCTTTTGTTCATGAAAACAAAAACTTGCTTGAAATGAGGCTAAAAGGAACAGTTAGCTTAAATTATATCTCTACAAGATAATGTAAAATTACCAGTGACATTATCAGTAAAAAGAAACAAAGTAATTTCAGAACAGAGGGCACATTACCTGTTGAACAGTCAATGCCTGTACGCCCATTTTCACACTTGCATACTCCATCAGGAAGACATTTACCATGTCCATTGCAATTACCTGGACAGGATCCTGCAAACAAAAACCTTAATAAAAATCTGAAAAAAATAAACAACATGAAGCTCATGCAATCATGGTCTGAATTACAAAGAGGATAACATGGTGGATGTAGTGATGTGCCATTGACGATTATAAGAAAATGTTCCCAAAATTTGAAGCATTGAGTTATTATGTATTGGTATTATAAAAATTGAGGAATAATAGTGACAACTTCATGGTTCAAAATTTTCTGTATGTCAGGTTAGGCAACCTATGACCACATGGTTTTGGCACCACATGTTTACCTTTATGCTCAAGACCAAACATGAAAACAATCTAAAGCAGAAAAAAGGAATGGTCAAGGCTTACGTTTACTGCAGTCATGACCATGGAACCCTAAAAAGCAGTGGCACTTTCCCTCAATACAATCTCCATTGAAATTACATGAACTGGGACATTGCCCAGGGATGGGTGCTGATATGGTGTTACATAGTTCATGATAAGCTGGACATATAAGCTCCCCTGCACACATTAAGACCAAAAACTTTCATGAACATGAAAACAGTAAGTTACCGTTTCCAATAAAAAAAATGAAAACAGCAAGTGTCCACAGTTTTTGACAGTAGCATGCAGAATTACCATTGAATCCCGGAAACTGAATTGGTCCACCAGCCTCTGGACATACTCTCCACATACCATCAACAGCAACCTACATAAGACAAATTCAGTCGTACCAGAAAGGAGCATATGGCAAGAGAAACCCAAATTGCCTATTCCAGAGAATCCAGAATTTAGGTCATGTGGAACATGAAAGTTAAGCATGTGGTAAAAGAAATTCTTCAAGAGCTGTTTTATTTGTCTGTACTGTTGTTTGCTTTTGTTATAGTTGTTGGCTTGTAATTTGTGCTCCAAGCCTTGGAGCTTTTACCATCTTTCCAGCTGCTTGATTTTTTGAGCATGCTGGTTTTTCATGAATTTGATGTTGACTATCAAAAAAAAAAAAATCTTCAATAGAACTTTGGACAGTTCTTTGCTTTCTCCTCTGCATTCACATCATGGGCATCCAACCTTCAACGTTCAAGCACAAAGAATTGGACTTTTCACACAAGGGAACACTACACAGATGTGAACAAGATTACCATACCTCTAAAGAGTTGTTTACACATCGATGTTGATAACAGCCATTTCCCTGGGTCATGGACCCTCGGACAAATCCAGTACGCACTAAAGATGAAGCCATACACCTATTACAAATAAAAGAAATGTCATAAGCCTATATCAATTGATGAAACTTGTTTTGTGAAGTAAATTTCCATGGGTATAACTCACCGGGAGCTACTCCCCCGCAATTCACCCAGCATTCTATCAGGTGCACGTGCACTGCTTGTGTCTGTACATGACCCATCAGAATAAGCTACAAAATACGTGCAATAATCAGCCAGTGATGATTGCCCACCTGCGCATATCAGAAGATAGTTGGCACAAGTCAAGGACCTTTAGAATATGGATTATTAATTAATAATGATTTGTCAGTAGTTTTTCTGTGCATTCTCTACATGTTTCAAAACCCATAAAAAGGTCATCCAATTCTTTTGAGTAATACGTAGACCCTAATCTTAGCTATAGATGGAATTTTTGGAGAACCTCCATAAAGGTTGGAGACATTGACAAGTCTGACATACAAGATCTCCCCTCAGGAATTGACTGGCAACCATGGGGTTTTTTTGCTGGACACATAACCAGATTCTAAGACAATGCAATAGGTCCATTCTTTGTGGTTCTTGACCAGGATGATTTGCATCCTGGGAAACATCTTAATGGTTTGTCCTGAAGCATGCATGCAGGACAGTAGTATCAGTTATGACACAGTTTCCACTTTGAGCTATTAAATGTAAAAAAGCATTCAAAATTAACGACATATAGCAGTCATGGCATGATCATGGGTGCTAGGGAAAAGAAGTCAATGAACGCTGAACAATTGAAATGCAGGAAAGGAAGCACCTTGACGACAAATAGTAAACAAAACAGCATGAACTTTCTACCAACAAATGTAACTGTGGAAAAACAGAAGCATCAAGAAACACCTTTATTTGACTGTGGGAAGTAGCGGGCCCATTGGGGGAGGTCCCTGCTATAACTGACAATTGGGCAATACCCTTCTGCCTCCCTGTTATATGTGCAGCCTGATAACTGTGTTGTATTGCAATGATATGCCCCCTTCCAAAGATTGCAAGGAGAAGTAACAAATTCTGTCCCTTGATTGTGTCCCCAATCCAGACGGTCTGCCATACTATAATTAGCCCTATACCATCCACTATCCTCTAATAAAGCCAACGTCATTTTTGAAACAACTGATCTTGTATCCACTGATCCTGTCATAATCTCATTCATCAGAAGCCTCTTCTCCCAGTGGGATCCTGCATGCAAATAGCCATGCATATTGATCATTAACAACAGATTTTGTGTAAAAGACCTGAAAACAATGAACTGCAAGGGTGTGTAACAAGAAAACACTGCAAATGGGTGGAATTAGATAATACAGAATGGTATGTTGTATTAATAGATTAATACCATCTTTGTCAAAATAACATGCTTAAGAAACAAAATACACAATGTATTTAGACATTGTATCCAAGTAAAGCAACCAAAATATTTAGATAATGTCTCTACCAAATTACCAATAGAGAGAGAGAGAGAGAGAGAGAGAGAGAGAGAGACCTGAGGTTCCACGTCCTCCCCCATCTTCTAGCTCTAAACCAGTAAAGTTGTCAGAGAAGGCCTGCACACATCAAATGTTTAACTTTAAATGTGAACACAAGACAAACAAAAAATTGCACCCTCTGTCAATATATATATCCACATAGTTCAGAAGTGCTCAACAAACCCCATAATGATATCGTGCATGCATGATAACACGTGGAAGAACCACACGAGTCACCATCCGCCCAAGCTTCTCATCCATAACTTGTACAGTAACCTGCAAATAGATATTACAAACCCCTGTTAGTTTTTTTTCTTTTAATTTGAGGATATCAAAATACACAGGCTACAGTTTTGTATCTATTATCATAGAAAGCAGATACCCCACATTTCTGCGAGAGGCTTATGACACACAGAAAAACTATTTATGACGGACCTCTTATCTTTATCAATACCATGTACAACACACAATTGCCCATGCTTGTTCGGTCAATGCTAATTTTAATATAACTTATTTTAAATATGTAATAACAGACTGCTAAGACATCCAAAATTAAGGCATTAAACAATATAGTCCAACATAAGAACTATCACCATCTTCTATTTTATCTCATCCATCCCATACTGCTTTGTCTTCTTTTTTTTTTATGAAACCAACCAGAAACTGTAAAGAGTTTCCCACAATAAATAAAATTACATATTAACATGATATGAATCACTCATCAGTACAGTTTCTTTTCTTTATTCTAACCGTCCTCCAAAAGGTTGACCCATCAATTGAATTGTAAAGATTGAAACGATAGCCTGACAAAGTGAATGGTGGATAGAGAGAAGTATGGAAATTATCTATTGCATCGAAATTAACTGGTACTACTCTTGAGAAGGAAAACCATGAACATACAAAAATGAGAAATTGTGTTTTTGTGTGGAAGCATTGCTTAAAGAGGTTTGGTAATTTACCATAACAAATTGGATTTACAAATAAATTAAACATGACGATGGACTTATAAACAAAACAACTGATTTGACCGTGGGAACTAAGAATAAAAAAGCTCTTTCCCATGCTTGAGACAAGTTCATAAGATAAATAAACATAAGAAAAAAGCAACGCAAAGGTGCTTAAAAGAAAAACCTAATGTAACTTGGTTTAAGATATCTAAACATTAGTATAATATGTTGGCATTGTACAAATTGGTGGGAAAATTTGGAGTACTATAGTGTTTTTTTTTCATTCTTTTTCTTTTTTTATTCAATGAATGGTGTGACATTGTGAGGGACTTGGACTGTATGTTAACAGGTTGAATCCAACCTAATACATGCTAAACATAAATGAGAAGAAAGGAAATGGGGGAAAATAAATACTAAGAAAAGAAAGCATCATCCTACCCTAATAATATGGGGGGATGGAATGTTTTTAGGAATGGGACTAGCAAGTGAAGCATGCATCTCCAGACATTTTGTGTACATAAAAGCCTCCAGTGGTAGGTGATTTCTCCAAAAAAAAAAAAGAAAAAAGAACATACTTTTGCATTTTCTGGACTATGTATGTCATAATAATTTTATCTACCTGATTACGCCTTCTTTTCCTCTCATCCCGAAAATGTGCGAAGGCATGTGGATCAAAACCAAGAACATGCATGACCTAGGAAAAATGAATTTGCTAATTAGATCACAAAAAATGCATACTATTTTCTATTTTCCATCTTATTTACTCAACAACCAACCTCATGAATAAGAGTAGCTGAAAGTAATGTTTCTGCTTCAGCTGTCAAATGCCGTGGAGCAACATTCACGTGCCCTACACAAGTACATAGAATAGTGTCATTTATTTTTCCCAGAATAGATGTATCCCACACTTGCATGGGCAGAAGACTGCCCAAAGAATTTATCCAGAATAGTGTTACCAGCAATTGCACGACCCCACTGATCACGTTCACATGCCACTGCCCATGCAAGAGTATTTCCTGTAGTAGGCCTTGTGGTGACCAAAAGAACTAAGTCTGAATCAGCAACACCCTCTGCACAGAATGTAATTGGTTACTACCCCAAATCAACCTAGCAAGATAAAATAAAATCAAACAAAAAAATAAAATAAAAAATAATTCTTCATGGCACAATTACCTTCTACATATTCACGTGGAAGCTGTACACCACCATCCTGTCCACATGCAGAATATCCACTTAACCGCAAGTTCCCTTTCACAGGCTCAACAGCTAAGGCTCTTCTAAACCAGTCGGCTGTCTGCCCTAGGGCCTGTGCAGGGTTGCTTTTGAAATTAGAATGTTTATTTAACAAGGGTGTACTGGGCACTCCATTTAGAAAGATTAAGAAAAAAAATACATACAATATTGGACTGTCATTTGTTTTTTTTCTTGTTTTCCTTTGGTGGTGGTGTTGGGGGAGGGGTGGGGAGAACCCAGTTAATTTTTTTTTTCTCCAATAAACAGCCAATTGATGTGTCAATGCTTAGATGATTAGATCTTATGATCATGTTGGAGCTCAAGAGTTTTTCTTTCAGCCATGTGGCTCAATGATAGTCTGACATCTCTAGACCTTCCACCGTCATGATGGTTATTCCTCAGAGCTAGTTCTCTCAGAACAAAAACACAATGAATTTTAATTTGGATGGTTACTTATGGGAAACCTAGCCCTTTTACTGTAATGGAAGATTATTTTGGCTTGTTCAGGTTCATTGGGTCTGAAGACTTGATTAAAACTAAGGTTAAGGCCCTATTGCAAGTTCTCATCATGAAGGCTTCTATTAGTGCAGAGGACTGGAGGTAGAGGGGGATTCTCATATTTCCATTATGTAATACAGAGACGGGTCTGAAGATTTGGTTCGAGGAGTTGAAGTTAAAGCCCTACTGGCGCAGAGACAGGTCCTAGTCTCTTACATTGATTACATTAATTGGTGCAGAGTAGGTGAAGCCAGGGGTCTTGAGTTGTTATAAAATAGTTCAAAGATGGCTAGGGGCCTTGAACTTTCTGGGGCTACTTCCTCTTATTGTTGTGAATAGTTTTCTTCTCTTATGTAAGGCTTTCATTGATCTAGATCTGTCTCCCTGGGTAGGCTAAGTGATTATACTGTTCTCTTACTTTAATATTCTTAAAATCTCATTGATATCATTACGGATTGAAAGTCCAATATCATAATTGATAGATAATCTATTGAAAAAATAGAATTGCAAGAAAACGAAGCACCGAGGACTATATTTATGTTATAAGCATAAAGATTTCATAATATATCAGTTTATTAATTATTAATACAAAGTAGGATAATTTAAAGTGTTCTTCAGTAGTACATTTTAAGTGCATAACGGGATTAAGATGATACTTGGTACCCAAAGCAGCATTCATACTATTTATATTTTATGTTTAGTAAGAGAAAAATCATGTTGAAAATGTTCCATTGATTTAGATAAAATCAAAGAAGAGATTTAAGGTGTGAAATCAAACCTTACGAAGGCGATGCCTCTTGTCCTCCCCAGTAATATCATCCAAAGTGCAGTTATACCAGCAGTCACCAAAAATAGGAGGATCTCCATGAGGATTGCAAGCAGGTGTATTTGTAAGAGAAGTCACAGGAGGCTCTCCAAGCTAGAGAAAGAGAAAAGAGAAGCATGATATCAAAATGGGTGTAAATAGAATTCTGCATGTATAGACTAGTTTCAAGTTTATCAACTTATTAAAATACCCACCTTCACAATGTCACCAACATTTCGACAATCTCTATCAGGCGAATGGCCAACAGCATCATAATTCAGATATATTCTGATAGGTTGTCTAGCATCCTTTTGTGACTCTGACAAGGGGGAAATTCCAAGTAATGCCCTTCCCTTGCGATGAAGGGGTCTTGAGAGACCACTCAGACCAGACTCCTTGTAGACTTGTGGGGTTACAGAATACTCCTTGCGACCGGGCCGCCTCCTCTGTTCAAGTAGCTGATCATGAATGCAGGAATGCGAGAGGATGTCCTTACTCCCCTTTTCAAGGTCAAGGCCTTGTCTTTGCATCTGATTTCCTTGGGGCATGCCATTAGCAGCTTCAATCGAGACTAGGATAAATACAATCTAAAGGCAAGAGAGAAATACAAGCATTAAAAACACTATAATCAATCAACAAAATGAAAAGTAGCTATTCTAGTTTACTCCAAGCAGAATAAAGCCTTAATTCTATGATTTAAGGAAAGAAAGAAAGATCTTCCAGAACAACGGGAACAACACTCTTTGATGCTATAGAACATGAACTCACGCACCCACTTTTAGACACATACTAAGAAGAAGCTCCAAATCACCCCTTCGATAAAAGATGCAAAATGGACGGCACAAAGGGTCTCACCCTCGGCTAGTAAACCCAATCCGACTTACAAATAAAACGAATTAAAAGTATAGAAGAAGAAGAAAGGGAGCTAGAACATAAAAATTAAGACTTTCTTATACAAAATTGCCAGGAAAACCCTCAAAGGTCTAAATAACCCAGAGGCATCAGTATAGCTGGCAAATGTCCCTAAAATTTTAAGTAAACTAGAAGCTCCAAATAAACCAACAACAACACATTTCTTAAACTGAGGGAAGAAATCGGAAGAAAATTTAAAGATGGTCTCAGTTATTCATAACCTTCAAAAACCAAATAATCGTTACAATATGAAGTCAAATGATCAACAAAAATAACGGAAAAAGTTAGATAAAAAAGAAAAATGCATCTTTGAAACGAAAGTTCTGAAGCCATAACTCATAAGAGAGGCCCACTGAAGCCAAGCATTTATTTCAGCCATTTTTAACATATTCCTAGCACCCGGAGACAAAAGAAAACCCTAAATATCAACTTTTGAACTTAAGCAATGAAAGAAATAAGAGGGGAAGAACAAAATAAAAGAGAGCAAACAGTAAAAGGCTACCTCGAAAACAAGGGCTGCAAATAGAATCGAACTTCGAAACCCAGATTGCGGAGAAACCATACATCGGGTCGAGACTTTCACCTCCATCAAATGCCGCGTGAGTCAAATGGAACCCTCTCACCAGCTCTTCCATCAAACCACCAGCGATTTTCCGATCGGCTCCAACACCCGGAAAAATCGCTGGTTTGTCAGCATTTCAACTTTCAACCAGCAGCGAACACGAACACAAATCTTAACTTTATAAACCCTTCTCCTGTCGCTTTCCACTGGAATGAAAACAAGAGAAACGAATAGAGGAACAGCGCAAGCGGATGCCTCTCTAGATTTCCTTACAGGATCTTTACCAACTGTGCTTTGTTAATGGGAATGATATAACCAGAAGAGAACAGAGAAATCAGTCCCAGTAAAGGTGGGAGAGAAACAAAAGAGAGACGAGAAAAATTATATAGCCATTTGTCTTGTATTTTTATTTTTCATTTTTTGTGTACGAGGAAGGGACTTATTTTAGGGACCTTGGGACCTTGCTTGAGAGTGGCTAAATAATTTTGCAAATATTTTCTGAATATATAATTAAAAAATATCCGTAATATATCCAAATACCCTTGTCTCCTTAGGAAAATTACGAAAGCAGCCATTCATCGTCAAAATTAATATAATATGGTCATCTCATCTGACACTGAAAATAAAATTTGCGTGTCATCTCGGTTTACGTTGAACAACTAAAACAGATAATGTTTTGTAGTAGTTTATCTTGAACTCACACAAAGATTCTTATATTTCTTTTGTTCTTTGCTCTTTCTCTCTCTCTTCTTTCTTTTGCCTTCAAAATTTCATCCGTTCAATCTTCTTCATTAACATAAACTCTGATATTCGAAAGATTTTTATTTAATTGTTTAATGGGGAAGATAAGGAAATAATGGGAAGGTAAAACAGTTTCCAAATGGAGTTTCCAAACGATAACAAAATAATCTGCATTCATTGGAGTTTCCAAATGGAGCACGAAATTTTAGGTTCCATTTGGTTCAAGGGAATATGGTTTGGAATCGGAATCGGAATCGGAATCTGAATCAGAATCAGAATGGATTATTCCAATTTCAATTGTTTGGTTGGGTGGAATTGAAATTTCATTTTCATTCCTGTTAGAATGGCATTCTTCCATTTGAAGGAATGGTCATTTCTTGCCCCTTCTTTAAGAATGAAATTCTATTCCCGTTGATTTTAATTTTTATTCTCATTCCTATCTGAATCAAACAGATTATGAAAATGGACCATTCCAATTACAAACCAAATGGACCCTTAGATACTTCCTTTGTGAAATCCTAACAAAAATGCAACATGGGAATATCGTATTTGATTGATAGTGAAAAATGAAATTAAAGGGATATTCTACGATATGAATCTTTTGTTCTCGTTTTGTTTTTTTTTTTCTTTTTAATTGTTGACCAGTATTTTTATTTTTTAAAACTACAAAGAAACAAAAAATGAATAACCATATAAAAACATGTTTATTAAACCAGGAGTTCAATAACATATTTTCTTGGTTTCAGTTTTAGAAACATAAAAGACATACAAAAAGAATGCCATGTTTTTCTGTTCTCCTTGTTTTAAAAATCAATTGGTTTTCAACAAGTTTGTTTTGTTTTGTCTTTGGAGTAACAACAAGAAAAACAACTCGCATCATAAAACACCCCTTAAGGCTATGTTTGTTTTAGGTGTAAATTCAATTTTACATAGATAGAAAATATGAACAGTTTGAGTGATGGATAGAAATTGAAACCGGTTGTTTTTGAATATTTACACTAATCAAGGTATAAATTTTGATTTTTTTTTGTCGGAATTTGGAATAGACGTCCGTGTAAATTTCCAACCATACACCAATATGCACTTCGCAACAATCCTATGTGATGCGATAATCCCGATCCAACGGTTCCCAAGTTATTTGAATTTGGACTACGGCCTTGAGAGCCTCCTACCACTTGTAGCTTGTAGTAGTTGCATCATCGTTCACCATTTGATGTGTCTGTTTACCTGTAGCCTATAGACTATGGCTCTTTTCTCGATGCTTCTCTTCACAGTTCGCTCTACTACAAAGCACCGAACACGTGAGAAAGAGTAGAGGAATGAAGATCGGAGAAAATGGCAAAGGCGTACAAGATGAGACGGGAGGAAGTGAAGGTTGCCTAAACGGATGCATCTAAGAGGCTGTTTGGGCAGCAAGCAAGAGGTGTGGCTCACGGTGCACTTTACCCTTCCCTTCGACGACCATGGTTGCGAGGGGATTTATTTTAGTGGTTGTCGTCACTTCACCTTGTATGCTAAAAAGAAGCTTGAAGCTTTCGTTGTCAATGTGGCCAAGGTCGTCGTCGAGAAGGCCAACCTTGCCACTACCAAGTGAGAGAGATCTAAGAGTGGTGCCGATGAGAGAGAAACCACGAGCAAGGTGGATGTTGAGATGGAGTAGATGGAGAAATGGAGAAGAGAGACGTTAGAGTGAGAGGAATTTCACTTCGATGGTAGAAATAGATAGTTTTACATCGATAATTTTGATGTATTTTTTACATCAATTATTGGTGTAAAAGTATTTCAAAATAAAGTTTTACATCGATTTACGGTGTAAATATACACTCTATCCAAGCGCTTGCAAAATCAAACCAAGGTGTAAAGTTTACACAGCTCGATTTTACACCTCAAACAAACACAACCTAAATGGATGATGGGCTTGTTTGATTTGGGAGACTAGGATTAAAATTTGAAATACAATAAGCATGTTTTAAGCACACAATGGCTTGAACACATGACATCGATAAACAATAAAACTGTGCATCAAACATAGAGATAGAGAGAGAGGGGTGCAAGAATCTAAGGCCATGTTTGGGAATGCTTAAAAATAAATGTTTATTTGAAATGAGTGCTTATTTGGGCGGGGACCACACCATTAAGCACTTATTGGTGTTTGGAAAATAAGCCTAAAATAAGTGCTTATTTTAAAAACAAGGGCTTATTTTTTAAGCCCATATTTCCAACTTTTTTTTTTAAGTGCTCATACAATAAGCACTTATTCAAATTTTTACTCCCAAAATTATCCATGGTAAACTTTTAGAATACCAATTATGTCCATTTACAAAAACAATTTTATGAAAGCACATTTGTAAAAGTACTTTTACATGAAAGTAATTTTATAAAAAGTACTTTTATGAAAGCACTTCTATAAAAGTACTTTTATAAGAGCATTTTCATAAAAGTGCTCTTATGTTTATAAAAGAACTTTTATGAAAGCACTTTTATGAAAACACTTTTATAAAAACACTTTTTGTGAAAGTATTTTTATAAAAACACTTCTACAAAAACACTTTTATAAAAATAATTTTAGTGAAACATTTTTATGAAAGAACTTCTATCAAAGTACTTTTATTCATTCACTTTGAATTGGATGTTTTGAAAAAAAAAATAAAGGACAAAAGAGTCCCAATTACTTATTTAAGTGCTTGTTGGAGAAAAGGTTGAAAAAACTGAATGTCAAATGCAAATAAATACTTATTCAAAAACTGAATAAACACTTGTTTTTAACATAATTAAGCACTCCTAAATATGGCCTAAGAAACGTATAAACAATCTAGTGATAGTCTACTTAAGACATAATAGAAATAGTGAGATGAAGGAGGTTGAATTCCACACATGTAATTGATGAAATGATATCAGAACAGTCAAAAAGGCCTCTCTTCGGTCCTCTCCATAAAAATGCCCCGGGGGACATAGAGCCAATACGATACGGCCAGTCCCACACTCAGTCACTCACCATGCTCCATGTGTGTAGTCTATGCTACAATTATTATCCTGAGAGGTTGAAAAAGCAACACCACACAGTCACACACTTACACTGTTGCGGGGGAGACCGAATCTGCTCCTCACACAGGGCGTCTCAATCGAGCCTCACACACATATTTACCATGCATTGAGAGCATCTCCCATACTAATAAATTATTATTTACGGGAGATGTTCTCATGTATGGTCAATGTGCATGTAAGGTGCTCCCATGTGAGGAGCAGATCCCGGTTCATTGTGGGGCACATTCCTCCAGTCTCCACTCCTGCCATTATTATTACACCCATCACAGAGTTTGGTAGCTCTCTCTCTTCAGTCTTCCCTAGTCACTACCCGAGACCGGATCTGCTCCTCATGGAGGGCGTCTCACACGCGCCTCACATGCATATACTAGCATGCATTGGGAACATCTTCTGTACTTTTAAGTTATTATTTATCTCCTAATGCATGCTGGATGTACATGTGAGGCGCCAAAGTGTGAGGAGCAGATCCCGTCTCGTCACTACCTCACTTGCTAATCGCAAAGTTTTAAGCTTCCTGTTTCCCAAATGAGAGAGAGAGAGACCAGGGATTTGGGATTTTGCAATCTGTGCAACCAACCGAAGTGTAAGATTGTAAGTGTTATTCTGTTATTAATAATGGGCCCGGGCCTCAATAATCTATGGTATACAAGTAATGGACCTGGACGACTGGACCTAGGACACTTGATCATTGCATCTTAGAGGTGCACATGTATGATATCCTATAGTATGCCATACCATGAAAGATCGATCGATCAATCTTCTTACTAGGGCAAAGAGATTCACTTAGACTTGGACTTGGATTTGGATAGGGGTGCAAATGGAACGTATCATCATCCGAGATCTGATTTGATCAATTTTGGAACACTCTTGATTGAATCTTTGGATTGGATTTGGATCACCCTTATTCGATCCAATGTCTTAGATATTTATAAATATAAATATATTATTTATATTGTATTATATATATATATATATATATATGATAAAAATAATTAAAATATATTTATTTTTTTTAATTTTTATTTAAATTAGTATATTTTATTTTTTAAAGAAAATAAGTTAGATCAAATCAGATTCAGAGATCCGATAGAATTTGAATTCAAATCGAGTCCAATCATATTTGATCGGATCAAATCTGATATAAATACTATTGAATCGAATTCAAATATACACTGATTCAAATTCGATCTGATTCATTTGCATTCTTACATTTACATTTGGATGGATGAACCGCGAAAGTTTCCATGGATAGAAGGACGAAAAAGGGAGCAATGCTTTTGAGAAAAAAAGTTGCTTCCAAAATTTATTTTAGCCCTTTTCTCTTTTCGAATGAAAAAGGCAAAAAAAAAAAAAGGAATAGAAGAATCCGAAACCGCATTTGCAAGTTTGCATCGACCGATGACATGGGGCTCTGACTCTCAACCTCAAATGGGAATCTTTTTTTTTTTTTTTTAAATTCCAAGAAAAGGAAACTCGTAATAAATTCCCGCCAATTTGAACGTAATGTTAAAACAACAGAAACTTAATGGATTTAAACAAACGGTAGCGATGTTTGATGATCGAACCCTTTGTTATTTTATTGGGCGGAGGTCAAGGTGGGGTGGGCCACCTAACTGATTTGACGTTCTAAGAAACTTAATGGATTTAAA